ATTGCCTGGAGCCATAGCTCCTTCCAATGCTCAATTAGATATAAGTTTTATTATCAAAGTTACAAAAACTTGTGATCTCTTTAAAAAGTCTAAGTGGCATTAAATAAACAGCTATGAAACCATGTTTACAGTAACTTGTACAACAATGGTGGTAATGTTCCCAGGCTTTCATATTGGTTACACCGGAAACTGGGCTACTTATAGAGAATAAAAATTACTGGATGAAATTACAAAAAAGTGTAAAATAATAAAAATATAAAAATTTGTCACTTGACCAGCCTTAAAAAAAATTGTATAGGAAGACATGCTAGCTTTATAAACTGAACTGTATTTGTTTGAGATAGGGTTGCATTCTGTTGCCCAGGCTAGAGTATAGTGGCGACATCATAGCTCACTGCAACCCCAAACTCCTGGCTCAATTGATCCTCCTGCCTCAGCCTCCTGAGTAGCTGGGACTATAGGTGTGTGCCACCATTCCCAACTAATTTAAAAAATTTTTTTTTGTAGAGACAGGGTTTTGCCATGTTGCCCAGGCTGGTCTTGAACTCCTGGCCTCAAGGGATCCTCCAGCCTCAGTCTCCCAAAGTACTGGGATTATAGGCATGAGCCACATGCCTGGCCTAAACTGGCTTTTAAAGACAAATAGTTCTAAATTTTCAATGAGTTGACTTTAGTTCAGTAGTATTATCTTTATATCAACTTTTTTACTACTTTAAAATAATTAGAAGGAGTAAAAAAAGAAATTAGGGTAGGTAAATTTCCATTATAATTAATATATTAGACTGATTTTGAAAATTCTGTAATAAACCATTAATAGACAAGAAATCCCTTGGCTCCTTTTGCATTTTCCCTGCTGTGGCCCCACCCTTGTCCTGGTCCCTTTTAGTGGAGAATAATGGTATTTGGAAACCAAGATCTGAGTGTCAGGTGTGCTCATTGCTTCTAGTTCCTTTCAGGTGGAAGAACTAAGAAATAAAAAAAATATATACATATATATATATATATAAATAAAATACATATACACACACATATCTCATGAGGTCATACTGATACCTCTAATTCCAATCCTACACCACGAAGTTCTCTTTCTCCTTCCCTTATTCCATGTTTATATCTCCCTTTCCCATAGTGAGAACCAGGGTACCCAACAATATTAACATATTTACTCAATCCTATAATATACCTTAAATGGTTTCAGGATTGCTATTGCTGTACCAATACCACAATCAACAACTTATTAAGTAAAACTCAGGTAGCTGAGACTATAAGGCATTTGCTGCCACGACCGGCTAATTTTTCATTTTTTGTAGAGACTGGGTCTTGCTATGCTGCCCAGACTGGTCACCGTTTTTCCTTTTTAAAAACTTTTTTATTAAGTGTACAGCTTGATGAATTTCTACAAATGTAATACACTCATGTAACCACAACTCAGATTAAAATATAAAATATCTCTGGCAGCCCAAAAGCCTCCCTCGTGTCTGCATCCAGTCAAGCCCCTCTAATCATAACCACTATTCTCACCTCTATCACTGTGGATTAGTATTGCCTATTTTTGAAGAAGTGAACTCACACAGTACCCAGATTCTTGGTATTCAAGGTAGTTATGTTCTATAAAATCACTGGGAACACTGAATTAGTGAATACCAAACCATTGCCCCTGGGGGAAAAACAGGGTTAGGTTCCTGCAAGCCTCTGGTCATTTTTGTTAGCTGATCAATATATAACCTTGTTTTATGTGTGTTTGTTTTAAAACACTTTATTTAATATATATATTGTTCATTCATTACACTGAACTCACAGCCAACAGACTATGCCTGAGGGAAGCTTATCTAACACATACTTTCCCTATAAGGCACATCACAGCCTTCTTGCACTAGACAGTACTTTAGCAATCTACTTGGGGCCATTTTAAACAGCAACACCATCAACAAAAACACAAAAAAATGTGAAAAACATGGCACTGAATATACCATAAAAGAGATACTTTTTTACAGGATGAGAGCTGAAAGAAGAAAGCCGAGTGCCTCCTTGTTCAACCTCAACTGGGAGTATGTACATCAGGCAACTCAAATTTTCACAGCTCTGTGCATGTCCGTGAATGACTATGAAAAAGCTACTAGTATTAATTTTGGGGTTACAATAAAATATTAATGAGTAGTGAATTTGCAAATATGGAATTCACGAATAATGAGGAACAGCTGTATATTCTTTTGGGTCCTAGTTCCTTTATTATTATACCAGTGAGACTCTTCCATGTTGCTGCATATAGTAGTTGTATTTAATTGTATGTATATGTCACAATTTTTTTTTTTCTTTTTTTTTTGAGACAGAGTCTTACTCTGTCCTCTGGGCTGAAGTGCCATGGTGTCAGCCTAGCTCACAGCAACATCAAACTCCTGGGCTCAAGAGATCCTCCTGCCTCAGCCTCCCAAGTAGCTGGAATTACAGGCATGCGCCACCATGACTGGCTAATTTTTTCTGTTTTTAGTAGAAATGGGGTCTTGCTCTTGCTCAGACTGGTCTCGAACTGCTGACCTCAAGAGATCCTCCTGCCTCGGCCTCCTAGAGTGCTAGGATTACAGGTGTGAGCCGCCATGCCCCGCCGATGTCACAATTTTTTTACTCATTCCATATTGGACATTTGGGTTGCTTCTGGTCTGTGGCTATCATGAAAGAAGCTGCTATAAACATTCTCGTACATGTCTTTTGGTGGATATAATATTCTTTTCTGGTGGGTATACAGTAGTCCCACTTACATGAGGGGGATATGTTACAAGACCCCCAGCGAATGCCTGAAACCCTATATATATATTTTTAATTTGATAACTGAGATGACTACTAAGTGACTAATGGGCAGGTAGGATATACCATGTGGATATGATGGACAAAGGGATGATTCATGGCCCCAGGCAAGAGAAAGTGGGACAGCATGAGATTTCGTCATGCTGCTCAGAATGGCCTTCAATTTAAAACTTATGAACTGTTTACTTCTGGGATTTTTCATTTAATATTTTCAGACTGTAACAGACCACAGGTAACTAAAACCATGCAAAGTGAAATAGTGGATAAGAGGGGACTAATGTATACTCAGGAGAGTAACTGCAGGGTTATAGAGCATATACACATAACTTTAGTGTATATACTACCACCAGAGTTCCAACGTGACTGAACCAGTTCACATTCCCACTACCAATGTATATTAGTTCTAGTTGTTCCACGTTCTCAGCTACAATTATATTGTGAGTCCTTTTAATTTTAGCCAGTTATTTTGATTTTGCTATATCAACCAAGTAGAACTACTTGTCCGATAATTCCCTTTCCTTTTAGGTTAGCCAATCATTTAGCTGATAAAGAAATTTGCATGAGATTTGAAAGTAGAAAGAAGCAGCAGCCATTACACTCAGGTCAGCATAGGGCACCAGGTGTCGCTCCAGTTCACGCACATTGTTGCTGATGTGCTGGCTCACATTGCCAGTACAGGGCATATGCTATATACATTTCATATATATAAACTTATTATCTAAGTTTCTGCAAGGAAGTGGAGAAATTGGAATTCTTATACATTGCTGGGAGGGATGTAAAATGGTAAAGTTGCTTTGGAAACCATCTAGCAGTTCTTCGCAAAGTTAAACAGAGTTATTATATATGACCCAGCAATTCCATTCCTAGGTATATATTCCCAAGAGAAATAAAAACATGTCTACACAAAAACCTGTACATGAGTGTTCACAGCAGTATCATTCATATTAGCCAAAAAATTCAAATAACCCAAATATCTATTAATTGATGAAGGGATAAAATATACTACATCCATATAAGGAAATATTATTCGGCCATGAAAAGGAACAAAGTACTGATACTTGTAACATCATGGATGAAACTTGAAAACATTATGAAAGTAGGTCGGGCACAGTGGCTCACACCTGTAATCCTAGCACTCTGGGAGGCCGAGGTGGGTGGATTGCTCAAGGTCAGGAGTTCGAGACCAGCCTGAGCAAGAGCGAGA